GCTTAGGGCCTATTTGACATACCTTCCTTATTTTAGGAGGTGATGAACTGGGAGATAAACTCCGACATCTCCTCTTAAGTGAGCTCCTCTCCTGTGTACATGATGACTGTGACCGTTTGGGACTCGGACTTAGACTCCCTTGTTTTACACTCTGATTTTCTGAGCTCTCTGTAGTCATCGCTGTTATTTAAGATTCTGTTGTGCTTTCGTGTTCCAGCAAAATCAGTAACAAATGATTACAGAACTTTTCTGAAAGAGTGCATACCTGTTCAAACACGTGAGGAAATATTAAAAGTTAGGTTTTTAGCAAATGAAAGCACATATTCTCCTCCCACGTTCTTGATAATTGAATCCATCAGGTACAGGACTGGCAATTTCTGTGATGGAGGAGCCTGGAGTAATGAGAAGAAACTGACATGGGGCTTCAATCGGGAGACATGCTGCTCTCCCAGAGCTTTTGGTGGGATGAGTCCCAAACCCTCTCCTAGTACAATCAGGGAGGGAGGGCTCTTGCTCTCCTGGGAGTCCCCTGCCCACTTTGCTGTCTCTCCTTGTCCCTCCTCCATTCCTCCTCCTGCAACCCCTGCACCTTGTGCTGCCTGTCTCCTGTTCTCCTCAGCACTCCCTCTCCCCTATGCCCTTCCTCCTAGCCCCTAAGGCCACCCATTCCTGCTGCCCCAGCTGGTCCCTCCAGCACTATGTGTAAAAGTAGGAGTGAGTGGCATATAAAAACCTTGATGATCTCTGCCTCAATCAGGGACACAATGTGCTTGCTGAAGCACATGTTCTCCTCGGCCACGATGGTCAGGACATCGATGTGATGCTTGCTGTTATAGCTCAGCTGCTCCAGCAGTGACTGGTACGTGCGTTTCGCATCCTTCTCGTCCTCGCTGCTCCCAGCGCTGCTCTCCGGGGCCACCATGCTGCTCTGAACGGGGCCCGCACCAGGACCCAACCCAAGGAGCGAGAGCCTGCGATCCCCTCACACCGGGTGCACAACGGCAGCCTCCCCTCGCACCCAGTGAGTTTGTTGTGAGGATGGGGCCCGTCGCCTTGGAAACCGCATCCAGTTCCCTCACTGCGCCCTGATTGGCTGCCGACCCTCTGCTCAGCCCTGATTGGCTCATCCCTCCCAGCAGCAGCCTCTGCCTGCCTAGGACCATCTTCCTCTGCTTGGCTCCTGGGCTAAAGCCCCCTTCTTGCACCGCCTCCTGACTCTGCTTGCGTTTCCCTCACCTGGGACTCTGTGGCCTCACCAGCGTTTGGCTTGGCTGCTGATGTGGGGATGTTGCTGTGTGCGGCTCTGCTCTGCCATCGCCACAGGGTCAGCGGTGGGGGTGGACGTCAATGAACATGGGATGGATGTCAGTTCATATGGATGTCAGTGAATTCCTGTCCCCTTTGTTCCAGGCTATGTAAAGACCTGTAAAAAGTTCATGTCATGGCACACCAAGAGGCATCCAGGCCTCCTGTACCTAAACACCGCTTGTGCTAAAGGGCCGTGGTAGAGCAGCTGTTCTCAAACAAGACTGGGAATGAGCTTCAGGAAGGGGCACACAGAAGGTGTGGGACAGAAGTGACAAGAGGTAGAAGAGAGCACCTCTTGAGACTGATGTCCCTTACCTTCTACACCACAGGGAGCTGCTGTCCAACCAGCCTGGGCACGGGATGGATGAAGGGCAGCCTCTGATCAGATCTGAGCACCAGCTCCGGGCATCCCCATAGGCAAGAAGGAAAGGAGGGCTCCTTCCTCCAAGCTCCAAGCTTTCTTTTTACTCCTTCCAAATGATGGGATGAAACAGCAGGAATTGTGGAGCCAGAGAACACCTGTGACATCTACCGGGACAAGGGAACCTCATAGGTCAGCAAAATTATGCTTCATGCAGGAAAGCTGCACCATAAGGTGAAGACAGGCACACTGTAGGAACACGTTACTGTCCAACAAGAGGCTCTTCCAAGCACTCTTCCCCTCGCTTGCCAAGGTTCACAGAACATCACAAGACAACCACAAAAGAGCAGGGTTCTCTCTGCCATTTCCCAGAGCCCATCTTCAAACTTCCTTGGAAAAAAGGAAGGGCTCTGAAGTGGCGAGACAGGAGGCAGGACAAGGGGGAAGAGGCCAAAATAAGAGATGGGAGCGAGATCCAGCTGGGGCTCAGAGAGCCAGGGCTGGGCAGCAGGACAGAGATGGAAGGCACAAAGGGCCCTGGGCTGCAGGGCAGAGATGGAGCGGCCAATGCCAGCAAGGGCAAAGGGAGGGGGGATCCTGGAGGCACTGAGAGGCAGAAGAGGGTGAGCTGGCCCCAAGGGCCCGGCCCTCACCACAGCTCCCGCTCTCCGCCCTGTCCTGCCGGGGAAACTCCTGAGCCCAGGCCCTTCTCTCCCTGCCTGTCCGTGCTCTGCCCTTTCCTCCCGGGCAGGCTGCAGGGCGCAGGCCGGGCTGGGGCAGCTCGGGGGGCTCTGGCAGTCGGGGTGCCCGGTGCCTGTGCCCACAGCGGGGCTGTCTCCATCTCCGCAGGGGCTCGCTCGCCTCAGCGCTGGCCCCGGCCCTCCCCTGAGCTGGGCCGCAGCCCCAGCACCGACATGGCCGCCGGCAGCCCCTGCCCTGGCACTGCCGCTGCCAGCGGGCCCCGGGGCGCTCCTCCTGCTGCCAGGCCCTGCTGGGACAGCGGCCCCTGGGCACAGGGAGCAGGAAGAGGGGGTGGCCAAGGGCGGGAGAGGGGAGCGCGGGGAGGAGCAGGGCAGGAGCGAGCCGGAGAGGCTGAGGAGCAGCAGCGGGGGTCGGGGGGGGAGAGGGACAGAGCAGCGATGGCCTCCAGGGGGGAAGAGCCAGAGGGGCGTCGAGCAGGACGGAGTGCCGAGGGAAGCAGGGCCAGGCGAGGAGGGGCTGCATGGGGAGCAGGGGGGCAGGCTGCAGGACAGAGCTCTCTGCAGCCTCCTGAAGAGGGGACGTGGGGAGGGCGGTGCTGATCTCCCTGGGAGCCAGGGCAGGCTCACACTTGATGTGAGGAAGAGGGGCTTCAAACACTGGCACAAGCTTCCCGGTGTGCCAAGGCTGTGCGTGCTGGAGAGCCGTATGGACAATGCCAGTAAGGACTGTGTCCTTAAGGACGAGCTTGAACTTCTGGCCGGCGCTGAATTGCTCAGGCAGCTGCACTACAGGATTGCTGTAGGCCCCTTTCAACTGAGCTCTGCTCTGCTCTGCTCTTCCATGGCCCCTGCTGGGGGCTGCCCCTCGAAAACCCCTGGCACCTCAAACCACCTGCACCTCTTCCCCTCCCCAGAGCCTCAGCCCCAGCCTGCAAACCACACTGCCAGGAAAACCCCTGCACCCTGCACCTCCTCAGGTGCCAAACATGAAGGTCACAGAACCGCTGCATCCTTTGGTTTTCCTGCCTCTTGCAGCTGAGCAGCCACCATGACAAAAATATATCTACTTTATCAACTAGCTCATAGTCTCAGACCCAGTCAGGTTCCTGCCCCACTTTGCTGTGGCTCATCTTGCAAGGCCTTGGCAAGCTTTCAGGCTCCCCACACGGGTCCCTAGGAGGGGGACCTTAATTAGTGCAAGTGAAAGCACACAGATGCTGGACGCAGATGGAGTTTTAGGTGGCTAATCAAGGGTGCATTGCCGTGTTGGTGGGGTTGTTCCTGCCCTCGCTATGGGCAGGTTACGCATAGCAACAGCTTTCTGTGTTTGGCAGCTTCAAGTGTGGGAGCAGGGGCTGGATGTTTGCCCTCTGAGAGCTGTTCTCCAGCACCCCCGAAAGCTCTCAGCAGAGGGGCAATACACAGATGGAGTTTTAGGTGACTACCAGGTTATGCCTGAGTTGTAGCCACAAGCAAGGTGACATTTTAGAGCTGGTCATACGCAGGCACAGCCTGTGTTTACCTTCCTTGGCCATTGCTGCTTTCTTAGAAGGCCAAACCCCCCAAAACCTCTGCTGGGACCCCCAAAACACCTCATGGGACCCTTCAAAATTTCTCTTTTTCAGAGCTCTGCAGCCAGTGCTCAGAAACCTGAGTGCATCCCTGATATAAAGACTGAGTTTCAGGTGTTGCATTAGATCAAGCTCTGTGGTTTTTCTTACTGTAGGCTGGAATGTTTTGCTTGCCTGTGTCATGGCCAGTGTCTCAAAGAGGGAGAGACTCATAACCCCCAGATCTGCTTGGGTGTGAACGTCCTACTCTGCTCAGGAGTAGATAACTGATAGTCTGCAGAGGGTTTATTATATGTCAATAAAGAGTTTGGTTTAATGGATTACCCAGGAATTGCTATGTGAATTCTTTATAAAGGTCCAGCTTTGCACTGAAACATAGACCTCTGACTGCGAGGCTGTCAGAGTGCTTAGAAGAAAAGAGGTAGTCTGAGAGACAGAAAAAGAAAGCAAAGAGCAAAGATACTCAAATAGATACCACGGTACATTCAGATTAGGAAAGGCTATACTTTGCAAGCACTATGAAAGGCTTTCTTTCCTTTACAGTCCTTGCAGTCCTTTTACTGGTGCACAGCTCTCTGGCAGTCTACATTCAGGAGAGTTTTCTGCTCTTTAGTTTGTTGGTGTTGCAAGTTCAATGAAGTACTGGTGCCATGTGAGCTGTTGTGGATGCAGCAGGAATCTTAAGTAATAGACCTGAAGTTTTGATTTGCTCTGGCTTGATATCCAACTTAATCTCCCTGTTGTTCAGTTTTTCTTTCTATGAAGTGCTTTGCGCATTACTAACATGGTGCAGTTTAACTGCACCAGCCTTATCACTGCTTTGAAATCCCTTGCTGACTGAGGCACTGTGTTTCTCTTGTACATAACCCATGTGTTGTGAAGCTGCTAGACTGGGAACACCTCTAACTACAGAACGGTGTCAACAAGATGTGACAAAAGCAATTGTCTTGTGTTGCCTGCTTCTAGGCAGGAAGTTCTTTATGAAACTCATCAGCTTATGTGATGAGGCCTACACAAATATCATTAAAAAGGGTGAAAGAAATGCTTAGCTGAATCCACTGATCATTAAGAGATGCAGAGGGTCTAGCAATATAAAACATGGAGTAATACTTCCCAGAATACTGTCCCAGCCTCCTGAAGCTTTTGGTATGAGCTTTGAGTCAGAAGTGTCATATTTATGGTGCCAGTAATTTGTGTTCCATTAATCACGTGGACGAGTTTTAAATTAAAGAAACCTTGACACAGTACCTTGGGGTGTGTGATTTCAGCTCTTAACAATGTGCAGTAGGAAGGAATAGCTCTTTTTGCTTGGTTAGATCTTGCCACATGCCAGCCAATTCTTGAATTTCTCCACTGGTGTATTAGAAGAAAGAGTGAAGAAATTAAACTCCCATTTGCCTGCATTCAGCTCATGAGTTCATAAGTCTCTACCATGTATTGCCAAGCCATCTTTTCTAGCTGAAGATTACCAGCCTGTATCTTTCAACCCCAGGTTTTAAGGTGTCTCTCTTGGGAGCGAGAAATGCACCAAGTCTGCCACTATCTACATAATGCAAATTCTGACTGGGCAGCCAGGTCTCACTGCTGCTCTGAAAGGTCTTTGCCTTGAAGAGCTGATTATTTTGCTTTCAGTTAACACTGATTTTATATAGACTTCGTTTCAACACTGTCTTTTTCTTATAGGCTAGTTTTCAGGAGAGCTCATTGTTGAAATGGTCTAGATTTGCCTAAGGCTGACATCCTGATGTCTTTTATTTCTGGTTCTGTCTACACAGGATGGAGACTTGAAATTCTCCCTTGAGTCTGTGAAGAAGCTGAAGGAGCTTATGGATGAGAACAGACACATTAACCCTCGCTTTGTGCTTTCAATGGCTAGCTACTCTCCATGTGATGAAAAAGATCTCCCTGAGGAATTCCAATCTGTGTGCAAAAGAGAAGATGCATCCATGATTTTTGAGAGGCTGAGTATGTTCCTCATATTGCATAGCTGCCATTTTTGTCACGATTTCAGCCTTAAACATTTGAGTAGCAGCAGGGAAGGAAGCATGATTCTTGCTCTTGTCACTTCTAAAGCAGATGAGAGTGTCCATGCTGCCTTTCTATCCCTCCTATGATTGATGGCCAGCACTGGCTGTGAGCACCCTGCAGTACAGTTCCTGATGTGCTGAGCTTAGCTGTAGCCTGTACGGATCAGGCTGCTGTAACCAGGAAAAAGCTTCCTCCAGGTGGCTGCATGCTAACTTGCACGATTTAAGTGGGAGAGCCCGCTCTATCCTCTGGCTTACAGGAAAATCAGGGTTATATCACTCAGTTGTAGCAAACTACAAATTCCGAACGGGTCTAATTGCTCTCTCTAATCAGTGTAGAAGGTGTTCTTCCAGGTAGCCTAAAAGAGGTGTGAGATCTAAATGAGGTGGATCAGTCATGTACTGAGTTTTGAGCAGGCTGCTACAGTTTGCTTCATTTTGTTGCTTTTATCTGCTGTCCAATACAATGGTCACTTTAGAAAATACAGTACTAGTATAAGGAATGTTGTGATTCCACAAGCCACATCCCAATCATCCTCCCAATTATTCTCTTGCCTCCACATTCCCATTGTTTTCCCAATGAATTCAGGCTTGAGCTCATTCTTCAGGCCAGGTTTTTGCAAGAACTAATTTTACTTAAACCAGTAACAACTGCATAGAAAATTCAAACTCCTAAAACATTGATGGAAATGTTACTGCAAAAGGCGGTCAAAGAAACTCTCTAAGACTTGATGTGGAGTTTTAGAAAGCAGGCATTCTTTATTGCAGCACTGGGTGCGCACACAAATAGTTTTGCAAAGGTGAGCGCCCTCACTCCTTGCCCGCAGTGGCTATGTATTTAGGATACTCATACATATTTACAGGTTTTCTATGAAACTATTTACATATTCATGAAAGTCTTGCAAACTAATTATAATATTTGCATCCCAATTATGCATGTGCTTTCCTGCTGAGTGGGAGTCTCTGGTGGTTGCTGTTTGTCTTCCTCACTGTGTTCACTGAATGATCCTAGTGCTGAAAGGTCCTAGTGCTGACTTAGAAAGCACTTTGTCCTTGCTTTTGTTCTCTTCCAGTCTCTGTTGTCTTGAAGGTTAGCATCCTTGGTCTTATTTACTGCCTCCTTAGTTGTTTTCACTCCCCCCATAAGCGAGACATTGCTTACTCCCTACATGCTAGCAAGTTAGAACAGTTTGCTATATTTTACTATGTTACTTTAAAGCCACGCACACTCTTGTTAGTTAAACCTATCATTTAAGCCTACAGAGAAGAGTCCTCAAATCCCTTGCTGTGTGGCTCTGCTTGCCAAGAAAGTCTCTTGCCATTTCACTGAAACCCCCTCTTTTCTCTCTAACAGACCTGGCTGTCCAAGATCCTGATTTATGTGAAATCTGCGCCAATGCTGCCTGCGCTGGTTGCTTTTGAACAAAGATGAAACAGTTCAAAGAACATGTGTCAAAACTGGGAAGTTTGTGCACTCCTATTGCAAATCACGTGCTTACACAAATCGATATTTGGTCTCCATCTCTACTACAGTCAAACTGGAGCTACTAGCTCATGTAGACATACCAATGGCAGTCCTGAAGTAGTTAGACCAAGTGGCACCAGCAGTGCAGTTCTGGAAACAAGGAGCCTGGAAACCTCATCTGGGACGTTTCGGTTCTGTGCGTTGTGTCACACTGGAACAAAAATGTCTTAGCACAGTTTCATTTTCCACTCTTTTGTCTGACTTGGCGCATGATGGATAAAACTGAGTAGTGTCCTGCAGCTTTTTTAATAGCTAAATCTGCTTGTGATTTGGCCATCCCTACACATAACACCCAACAGCACCAAGATACCTTTTCCAGCCAATGCTGGCAAGTGTGTTGGATAACTATCTCACTACCTGGAGGTCTGCACGTGATTGTGTATGTTTCTAAGAAAGCAAGTAACCTGGGGACAAGTTATTGGTGTTTAGCAACATCTCCATAGCCAGAAAGTTCCCAGTCTGTTCCTAGTCACTAATTGTTGGAAATTTAGGAAATGAATGTACCGGAGGACAGGAGCGCTTTCTACGTAGCAGTATGGAAGCCCCTTCTTTTGGCAGACAGTCAAGTTCACCAAGCTCTATTTAGCAGGCAGCAGTTCCAAACTGCTATGCTGGAATCACTTTGAAATTTAAACATTGCATTGTGTGTTTTATTTATTGGTGGCGAGATTGTGAAAAAAGCATCTTCCCGTGTTTCTATGCTGTATGTGAAATAAAAGCTGGTAATAATTTGTGTGGTATTTTTATTATGTTTTTCCTGGGGTTTGTGGGGTTTTACGTTAGGGTGAGGGACAGTGTGCTTGCCTGCTTGCTCTTCTTCTAGAAAAGATATCCAGGACTAGTAGCTTCTTGAAAGGAAAAATACCATTCCATGTGGAGCGTAACTCAAATAAACGCTTCTTAGTAGCTGCATCCACCTAAAACAATCCAACAATTGCAGGGCTTGTTAAGTTAATCGAAAACAATTTCTTGATCTTTCCTGTGGAGCTAAAGACTTCATCTATTTCCTAACTCCATGAACAGTTTGCCATTTTAACATCTTGAATTTGTTCTACAGAATTTGTAAGCAGTGCAGCTCATACATCTATACCCATGGACTGAGGAACAGAAGATCGAATGTGCAATTGGTGTTTCAAGGCGATTTGAAGGTTTTATTGCACATCACCATTCTCTGAAAACTTTCTTTCAACTATTTCACTAGCAAAAGTCTCATTTACCTGTCCATTTTCTGTGGAGGAGAAAAATACAGTAACAAAACTATTGGAAGGCAACAGGAAAGAGGCACAACAACCGTTCTGGGCATTCCATCCCAGTGCTCAGTCACCCTCGCAGTAAATTAGTTCTTCCCCAAGTTCAGGTGGCCCTTCCTGCCTTTGGGTTTATGCCCTTTGCCTCTTGTTAAGAGCAAAACATTCAAGATATGGCAGCAGAACAAGAAAACCCCACATGGAAAGCACGTATGTCCTACCAGGAACAAATGCTGCTGAGATTACAGAACTTTTCTGAAAGTGTGCATACCTGTTCAAACACGCGAGGGAATATTAAAGGTAGGTTTTTAGCAAACATAGGCACATAGTCTCCTCCCACATTCTTGATAATTGAATCCACCAGGTATAGGACTGGGAATGAGCTTCAGGAAGGGGCACACAGAAGGTGTGGGACAGAAAGTGACAAGAGGTAGAAGAGACTGATGTCCCTTACCTTCTACACCACAGGGTGCTGCAGTTCCACCACTGAGGGCAGGGGACGGATGGAGGGCAACATCTGATCAGGTCTCAGCACCAGCTCTGGACATCCCAAGAGGCAAGAAGGAAAGGAGGGCTTTTTCATCTGATCTCCAAGCTTTCTTTTTATTCCCTCCAAATGATGGGATGAAATTGCAGGATTTTCAGAGCCAGATAGTCACCAGCTCTGCGCAGTTAAATAAATGGGGAACTATCTTAGGGCTTCTCAAACACATCATAGAATCACAGAAAGGTCTGTGTTGGAAAGCACCTTAAGATCATCCAGTTCCAACCCCCTGCCATGGGCAGGGATGCCTCACACTAGACCAGGTTCCCCAATTCCCATATGACCTTGCCTTGAACACTTGCAGAATGGGGCAGCCACAGCTTCTCTGGGCAACCTGTGCCAGTGCCTTAGCACTTATCTCAGGAGCTAGATGCCTAAATTCAGAACTGACGTTTGAAAACAATATTAGGTGTATTAATTCCTGTTTCATTTGTCAAAAAAGGTATGTGTTTGCAGAAAATAATTCCTCACATCTGATATGTTGATACAAAACATCCAACAGCAAATGCTAAAGGAGAATCTCACGCTAAGGTTCTTTCTGCTGACTCAAAATCGGCATCTCTGGGAAAATGGATTTCCTGAATCAAAACAGGAAACTTGGGCTTGTTTGAACCCTAAAGTTATTGCTCTGCATATAGAAATGTGGCTTAATATTTTCTCTTAAAACTAACTTGTCAAATCCCTAAATCTAGGCACAACAGCTTGGAGTGGCTCAGAGAGGACTGGTTATGCATTTTGCAAGGAAGACTTGCTGGCAATAAGAACCAAGGTGTGCCTGCTGGAATGGAGAACCTCATGAGTGTTTTCCCGTGAGTCCTCTGCCCCTTTTTATACACCACAGATAAATCATCGTCTAGTGTATAGAGCAGTGTCTTGGCACACAGAACATGGGGGTTAAAGGAGGGTAATGAACCTCTGTTTTGCACTTGCTGGATGAGAATTTTTTAGCAATTGGGGATTATACAGAATGAGCGTTATGTCTCTGGGGAGGGGAAGGGGTGCACACAATCAAATAAACACACCAAGAAAGCCAGGAAACAATTGGCAGCAGTGGAGTTCATGTTTGTAGCAGGCGGTGAAAAGCCCACTGGAGAACCCAGATTTTGAGAATGGTGCTCTGCAGCAGTCTCTGGGAACCGGAGCTGTAGGCATGGCATGCTCGGAGCAGAGCAAATATTTCATCAGGCTGGGTTACCAGCTCCTCCACTGACCCACTGTCACCTGCACACAGTCTGAGAAATATCCTGCAGGCTTCATGCATGTGCAGAAACCCTAAGCTGACTTGCTGAGCTGCTAATACTGTGTACAAGTATTAGTACAGTGTACTAGTTGACGTACTGGTCCATAGAGTTCTGTATTGACTAGTAGGATGTTCTTGCTTTAGGAAAAGATTTCTTTGCCCTAAGAAGTAACCCCCATGGCAAATGTTAAGTGTTCCTCCACACAGCTGCTGTCTCCTCATGTGACCCTGTACTCATCAGCATCTGCTTCTTGGCCCGTATACTAAACACACACATGAGAGAGTGAATGAAGGAAAACCAAGGTAGGTCTGAAAGAAATATCCTCTAGTTTTCATTGCCTTTGTTGACAAGAAAGAAGCCAAAGTCTTCAGCTAGTCACAGCCTTTTGCTCAGAAGAAGTAAGCTGCTGGCTCAACTCATTTATTTCACCTAATTGCACCTTTTGAGGGTAGAACCATCCTAAATCATACAATTATTTAGCTTAGAAAAGACCTTTGAAATCATGAAGTCCAACTATTAAACCAGCACTGCCAAGTCCACCACTAAACCACGTCCCCAAGCACCCCATCTACATGTCTTTGAAACACCTCCAGGGATTGTGACTCCACCGCTTCCCTGGGCAGCCTGTTGAAGCATTTGACCACACTTTCAGTGAAGAAGTATGCAATTTAAACCTCCCCTGCTCATTTCTTCTTGTCCTATCACTTGTTACCTCTTTTCAGTTGTAGAATGCAAGAAGGTCTCCTCTGGCATCCTCAGGTAAGATTAGCAAGTTTTTTTGCCTGTTTTTCCTCCCATGGCCTCATCTCAGTGTGTTCGAGGGCAATCAAACTT